GGACCAAAGATTCGGCTGTTTTCCGCGGAGCTTTTCCCACAGAAGGAACCAAAGGCCATAATCATCATGCTTATCCCAGAAAGCAGACTCCCATCCAAACCTCTGAAGTCGCCATAAACCCCGGAGGACAGAACTGTTGTCGATGTAGATGGTAGCACACTCCGCAGCACTGATAGCAACCAGAGCTGCAAAGAGCTCAGCACGATAATTGCTCTGTGTGCCAGGGAGTGGTCCAGCAGCTACCTTAGTGACCTCAAGCGATCCTTCTTCCAAGATAATCACAGACCAGGCCGAAAGAGGCACCGAAGACCCACAATCTGTGGAACCATCTGTGAACAAATGAACGTGACCATCAAAGACTTCATCAAGGCTAGGCCAGACAAGATGCTGGGTGAAGGAGTCCCAAGCTTTGATGGCTGTCGGAAGCTTGTGCAGACCACGTTCAGTCAGCAAAGTGGGCCATAGCTTCATGTCGTCCACAGGCAAATCCCGACGTGCTGTTGCAAAGTGCGGACAATCAAATAATCGATGGCGAGGGTGATCCTCCGCTCCACAATGGCAGCAAACAGCAACATCTCGACTGAGGAATTTGACCTTCTGCCTGGTGCCCAGGGCCGCATTGGAAGCAAAAGACCCCAACAAAGGCAGGGAATCTTTCACGGTCCTCCGCATCCTCATACTCCAGTGGAAATCAACAGTGGAAATAGCTTCCAAGCCTACTTTGCCCCCAATTTTGCCCGCAACATAACAGAACCAAGCATGCTCAACTCGTTGACAGATGGCCTGGCGACTATCCCGTATTAAATCAACATACCCGTATCCAGGTACCTGCAGCCGCAAGTCGGGATGTGGCAGGATGCCAACAATCCCGAGAAGCTGATGCAGGTAATGCAGTGGCCCCGAGGATTTAGGGCTTTAGGGCTTTAGGGGTTTAGGGCTTTAGGGGTTTAGGGTTTAGGGTTTATATAGGGCCTAGGAACCCCAGCCCCAAGCCTGCCACCCCCGGCTCCGAAGGGGAACTCTACAGTCTAAGCCCCGAAATCCCCAAAACCCTCAGCCCCAAACCCTAGAACCCTTTAGGGTTTAGGGTTCCCTAAACCCTAAACCCCTAAGCCCTAAGACGCCCCTTCCAAAGCTGAAGCCCTGCTCGCCACAAGAGGGGCCTTGATACTCAGAACAGGGCTTTAGTGTATACCTTAACCTCCCAAAACCTATTTTTTGTAGGGTCCCTGTATTTTCCATTTCACGGCTTATAATAGGAACCTACAAAAAAGTAGGGTTTGGTAGTTTCAGGTATGGTATAATCTTTCCAACGAGTTTACATACCTACCAGATAACAACCCAAGAGTATCCCGAAAAGCCCTTATAGCATCCCTTGTGGTATGGTAAGCCTTCTAATTTCGCTACTGTATCACAAGTCGTGTCCCGTGTAGTACCCCTTATACTTCCCCTTCTCTCCCCCCTTATACTAAAACCCTGCAAACCAATTATAGGACGCCTTAACAAGGAAACCCGCAACATATTATTATCCCTTCTCGGAGACCTTCCAGGAGCCCTTGAACAAGAAAGCCTTCACAAGGAACCCTAAAACAAACTCTAAAGAACGGAACCCCTGAAAAGAAGGTAACATGGAAGCCCTAAAAACCCTAAACTCCCCTAAACCCCAAACCTTAAAGACCCTAAAGCCGAAACTCGAGGCCTCACTGCCACCAGCTCGCAGTTCTGCTCCACCTGGAAGCCTGGCTTGGGGGGTTTACGGTTTAGGGGTTTACAGTAGAAGCCAGAAAGTTGGAACATAGTTGTCCTAATGCCCTTAAGGTAAAGTAGATGGAATCCTCGCACTAATCGTCCTGAATCCATGTTCCAACTTTCTGGGGTTCACTATAGTTCAAGGCTGGGTTCATTGAAAGGGGATTAAACGGGTTAGAAAGCGGTGGAAATGGGGTTTATAGTGCTTCTGCAGGGTTTGGGGGTGTTACGGTGCTTTATAGGGCTTTCTAAGAGTTCTACAAGGATGTCTGAGGTTTGGGTTTTAGGGTTTGGGCATGGGCCTACGGATTTGCGCTGGGATTAGCACTGCAGGCAGCTTTTAGGGCTCAGAGTTGTAGAGCTTACCCATAGGCCCCACAGTAGTTCCTTTTTCGGATTGCCTTATAGAATTCTAAATAAGAACCCCCAAAAGGAACTACTTTGGGGCCTATGGGTTTGAAGGGACGATCAGGTCGAAGAACACCCAACGGGGTCTGAAGAAAATACGGCACCAGCCCCTCGACCTCCAGTTACCTAAGTAGTAGGTTACTGAGGTGCACTATAAATGGTTAATAACCTATGTATTTGGGTTACTGGAGCCCTGCAGGAGTAGCAATCGATTCAAGCCTACCGGACAGGAAATGGCCCAACGGGTCGACCCTAAACCCAAAACCTTAAAACCTAAACCCTAAACCTTAAACCCTAAACCGTATCAAGAAAATATCCAAAGCATGGGCTTTCAGAGCACGTCTGCTCCGGACCCGACTATCTTCTCTGCAGCATGAAGTTCCGCAGAGATCCGCGAGGCTGACTACCAGTTAAAGGAGTTACGATATGCAAGAATTGTAAGGATCGAGAAGACCCCGATCTTTGATTCCCGTGTTCGCGATCCGATTTTGTAGAGCGTGGGAGAGGAGAAGACGACTCAAAATTCAACTATATCAGTGCCCTTGATTGATCTGAACTGCTGTGTGTATATCGGATATATGTCATGCATGTATATGTAACTTCGGCCGGAATTCTCAAGGAGTAGTCTTAGTCTTGTTAGAGAACTTGTTCACCACTGTATGACCGCACAGTATCATCATAACTGCCGCTGCTAAATATGGGGGCATCAATAGTTATAATGCCTGTTAATGCAGGGTTTGGGGGCGGCAAGGTCTGGCTGATTTTGCTCCAGCTGTCCCTCGCGCCTTCAGGTATAGTGATCTCGATGCCTCCACCTGCGATCAGGAGATGCCTTTGGACCCTACTCTGTGTCTTCGATACTCTGCCTCTCCCCTGCAGCCAGTCGGTTTGTCAACATGCAACACCAGTAGATCTGAAGGCAAATAGCAACGCTCCAGTGAGCAGGCCTGACGGGATGTACGTGATCGTCTCCAAGCGGAACTGTACCAAATTCTCCTGTGAGACCGTATAAGATCTCATCTTGCAACATGCATTCGCACGAAGTTGACTGCCCACATAATTGCGGGTTGATGGTTCACTAGCGATGTCATGCATCAAGACACACACCTATCACCGGCGGTACCCTCACCACCACGTCATCCCATAAAGAATAGCGTCGCCATCCAAGAGCACAGGGAAGCTCCTTGCCGATAATTGTGGTGGCGTAGTCCACTTTCGCATTCTTCAAGGCTCGGACTGGCGGAGCCTCATCAGGGAGATGTTCTCCTACAAGGGCCTTCACCACTAGCATAGGGTTTCGGTGTAGTTTGAAGTTAAATTTTAGTAAGGAGACTTTAAGGTTCTACGAAACGCAAAGGTTGTGACGTGCGTGGGGGGGGTGTGGACTGAAGCGGGCTTGGGGGCACCCCGTTCGGGAGCCGGTCGCTGCAGTAAGTAATGTTGTAGGGCTTGTATGGTACGACCACTAATGAGGCATTGCCATGTGGACTTCTTGGAATAGGGATGTATATTTTTGCCGGGCAACAGAAACTTCATTTGTTTTATGTTTTTTGGATTGAGAACTGTACTTTAGCCACCGATTATTTTGATTTCCCACACCAAGATGTAAAACTTTTTGACTTTGTCGCAGAACTTTAATTACTATTGGGCAGTTTGTTCCATGTGGCATGTCCCTGGTAGATTGATTTTCACTGTGCAGTGCATTAGGCGGTTGATCATGAGAGGTGCCTGCATGCACTGTGTTGCACGATAGATTTTTGCGTTTTGCCTGCATCGACTCATGTGACGCATGCCGCTTCAGTCTTGCATGTTGCCCGTATGAGGTCATGTGCAAGGGCTATGATGCATGAGCATTTGTTCTTGAAATCTTGCTGCCTGCATTACCATATCGCATGGTAGCGTATTTTGGTGTTTCTTTTTTCCTGCATCTGCATGAGCTCATGTGCAAGCGGCATCATGTGCATTCATGGCATTCTTGCATGCTGGCTTGAGTACTGTTATCACGGTGGCATTTTGCATGCCTCAGCTAGTGTGCCTGGTTCTGCTGCAACTTCTTTGCTGGCACCCTGTTGCGCCGTTGCGGAGTGCTGGCACGAGTTCAGGTGCAGTGTGTGTTGCCTTTGCGTTGTGGCTCAGGGGTCGCCGCGGCCGATTGCAGCTTGCTATGTAAGTGCTTTTGGGCCCAGGGGGTGCGGCTTGCTTGCGCACCTGGGATGATCCTGCTGCGCTGGATGTAGTGCGTGTGTGCACCGTGGAGGTACAGTATCTCAGTATCTCTATTGCCACTGCCACACTGCGCTATCGTTTGCAATGCTTAAGCTGCTTATACTGTCGCTTAGCGTAGCTATGTTTGCGCTGCTCAGACTACATGCTTTCGTTGCAGTCCCTGGCAAGCACTGGTCACTAGACACTACACGGTACTTCAAGCGCGTGGTGTCGACGGTTGCCGCATGTGCCACATGTGCAGTCATGCAGTCAGGTTTGCCGCAGTTTGCGTCTGTTGCAACACAAGCTTTTGCTCATGCTCATGAATGCTCATGTTGACTCATGTTTGGTTGCCGCACGCGCCTCTGCTCGTAGCACTTCCAAAGTGTCACACTGTCACAATCAATCAACTACTTAGTTGGGCTGTAGCTTCGTTGCAAGCCACGGACTGTAGGTAGACGTATAGATTATAGGATTGCACAGGACCCTCACGTGTTTCAGTTTCATTGATTTCAATCACATAAGATAATCACATGCATGAGAGCATGCATTATGAAGTTCATTGAAGATCATGATTCATGACGCATTTTAAGCATTCATCGGGTAGGCTTTTGCTGACCGGTCTCCCTGTCTCACTCATGGCGGCCCATCCCGCCATTTCGTCAGTGTTATTTGCTCTCGGGCAAAAAGTTAGAACATCCAACGTTGGCGGGGTCATATCCAAGGCGGACTTGCTTGACGTGATCGTTGTATTTTGCGATTCGGAGGCATCGGCTTCGAATGCGGTTCAACGTACTCGTGAGGTGGTGCAACGTAGAGTGAATCGTTGGTTGAAGACGAACTCTCCGGAAAGAGCCGGCTATCTACACATTGTCGACGGTCTCCGGGCACCGCTCTCTGTGGAGTATTTTGGTCCTGATGTTGTGGTGGAGGTGCTCCGGCATTTCGGAGCCGTTATCACAGATGAGTCTCGAGGTGACTTTGTGCACAGGATGCAAGGGAGTGACAGTGCCACAGGAGAGGACATGGCAATTCATCTTGATCCTCACCCGGCTCCTGCTTGCCCAAATGCACCCATCAGTCGCATGGGTTCCATGGAATCCGAAGGGGCTGCTCGGACTGGCCGTGATGATGATGATGCTGAGAGTGGTGCTGCCGCTGCTGCTGCTGCCTCTTCTGGCACAGATGCAGTTGCGATGTTTGACCCTGAATTTCATCCTGTGCCTGCTGGTCCTGCCGTTGCAGCTGCAGAGGGAGAAGCGGCCGAAGATAATGTGCACAAAAGAAAAAAACGCAGGGTTAGGGGCAACAGTGATTCTGTGGCAACACTCTTTGATGAGTACAAGCAGAAATATCAACATTATTCCCACGATGATCTTGTCAGAGAGGTCATGTTGCATGAGAAGAATTGCACCCAATTTCGAGAAGACAGCTTGGCCAAAGATGGGACCATACAGAATCTGCAGAAGAAGTTGAAGACTGCACAACAACAACTTCGGCGAATAACGAAGGCCAAGACGAGAGCGAAAGCAAGAGCAGCATCAGCAGCATCAGCATCCACAAAAAGGAGAGCCAAAGGACAGCGACAGCAGCATGAAAGCAACACCTTGCCAGACTACCTTCGGGCTAAGCAGAAGTTGGCGATCACGCGGACAGGCGCGGGTGAAGATGCTCCAGGTAGATACCTCACGGTCCCTAGTACGGTGGCCCTGGCTTTGAGACGGAACTTGAGCAACGTGTCCTGTGCTGACCTGGGGTTGGTAATTCTGGACGACGCTAGCAGGTGGAGTGTGTCTAGGTCAGAGGTAAGGGCTGGGGCAGCTGCCACGGCTTCAATGCGTGAGTGGCATGCAGGGATGCTCCAGGAGATGTTTCATCCAGATGGTGCAGAGGATTTCAATCTGTCTTTGCACATCGTGTCCCAAGATGCAACGAATTCTGGAATCTGGCAAAAGCGCAAGTTGATTGCTCTTTTGTGTCATTCTGCCTATTTGGTGTCGTTGCCGTCCAAATTCAGATGGTCCTGGCATGACATGTTTCGCGAAATTCGGACCATTGCAGATGTGCAACCAGTGGAAGATGGAAGCGGCCAAGGCTCTGTTTCGATGACGACAAAAATGCTAAAGAGCATAAACTGCCCGACAGTGCATGACTTGGTTGCCAAGCATGCAGAGCTTAAAGCCGATGGTCAACAGCGTCAACAGCATCAACCCTCAGATGAGAAGCCCGCAGACGCAGATGCGAAGTTCCTTTGCGTAGAGTGGCAGCTGTAAGTCCGTAAGTAAGTTTTGCAATGTGTGTCGTGCGTTGATTTCGTGAGTTGACGTGTTTTTGTCTATCGGGAAACACGACAACATGACAACATACCCACTCCACATCTGCCCAAGTCCGGCCTGAGTCCTAAACCGAAGCCAAGACCTAGACAATCTAGATTGCCTAGTAGCCTAGACTGCATCCGCCTGTCTGTCTATGTTTATGTTGTCTGTACATTGCTGCTAAGGCGGGCTGACGACTCTGTCTAGTGGCCTGTCCATGTCTATGTCTTTGTGACAGACAGAGGACCAAATGAAGTTCTTGCGCGCAAGATATGGCAGTGTGTCAGCTCTGCATGTGAGCACGTGGTGGTGCTAGGAAGTGATTGCCTGGAGCATGCAGCTCATTTGGTCACAGTCAGCTCACTTAAGCTCGTTGACAAGCTCTTGCCATTGCAATTCGAAGGGAAAGGTCGTGCATGGAAGTACTTTTCATCGCTTGCGACTTTCTCCATCACCGTGCGGGATTCATCCAAAGACTTTTTCCAGATGTGGTGTCAAGAACACGGAGATTTGTCCGGTGTCAAGCACGCCAAAAGTCTTTGGCCGAAGTGCGTGGCAGGACGTTGGAATTCCTGCAGCGACGTTGAGCGTCGAATGCACGATTCTGGTGGGCAGGCTACGGTTTTACCGGTGATGCGACGACTCATGGGAGCCAAGCGCGAGGCGGCGCCAGCTAAAGAACACCAGAGCATCGACGAGATTGCTGTAGAGGAGACTGCTCATTACACCCAACAGATGGACAGGTGGCGTGCCACCACCCTCAAATGCGTGGAGGACCCGTTGTGGTGGACAGTAGCTGAAGCTATGAGGATGGCACGTTCGCCTGCACTGCACCTCTCGGTTCCTCGCGGCTTGCAGTCTGCAGCATGCATTGTGACATTGTGTGGCTGTGTGGCTGTGGCAATGCAATGCTTATAAAGTCTTGTAGTGATCTGTGATCTGTGCGCAGACAGACAGACAAATACGAACAGATGCGCGCCCGCCCGCCCGCGCGCACGAACACACACACACACACACACACACACACACCACACACACACACACACACACACACACACACACACACACACACACACACACACACACACACACACACACACACACACACACACACACACACACACACACACACCGATACCCACACACCCACGCCCACACCCACACCCACGACCCACGCCCACGCCCGCACCCACACCTAGACGCACATGCAGCACATGCACACGCACACGCACATGCACACGGTGCACACGGGCATGTGCTGCTGGATGCGCCTCCGCAATGCTTGCCTGCAGTTACTGCCTGCAGTTGCTCAATCGTTTTCGTCGTAGATGTCCGCACATGGCACGCGGCAGCAGCAGTCATGGTCGGTCATGGTGACATGCCATCTTTTGTTGGAAATCTGTTATCTGATGTTGAACTGTTGCTTGTTTAGCCACGTTTCATGTAGGGTCACGGTCGCATGTGCGTGATGCAGTTTCAAACATCACGGTGGCAATCGGCGCGAGTACATCAACAGTCAGAGTATCAGAGTAGGCTGTCTGAACGGATGAGTTATCAAGTTATCAACATCATCTTCATCTTCAACTCATGTTCAAAGGAAATGATCATTGATCGATATCGGATCAGCACCATCACTGCGGTCATCGCCGGGTACTTCCTCACACAACCGTTCATCCGTTCCTCTTGACTCTCATGTCGTCTCATGTCTCATATCTGCTGCTAGCTCTCAGGCTGTCAGGCATATGTGTTGACTCGACCATGTTTTGTTGTCGCGTTCTCACTGTGTGCGGATGACTCGTCTCTTGTGATTGGACATGTTCATGCAGGCTTTCCTGAAAAAACACGTGTCGGAAGAGGACCTGGATGGGAAAGGCCATAAAATGGCGCAGCTTGTAGACGGGAAGGCTCAGCAGCTGTTCGAGGAGTTCGAAACACTGTTCCACGACACATCTGCGGGGGCTCTTCTGAGCATGCAGGAATTTCAAGCGTTGTCTGCAGTTGAATCGGACTTTGCTTTGGGTCTCTTGGCTCAGGCGCTCATGATGAATGCGTCTGGATTTGACAGGCGTGTGCGCCAACACTGCCTGGACTTCCCGCACCTGCTCCTTGTGTTAGCACGAGTACGCCCAGAATTTCCGGACAGGAGCCGTCAAAACATCGCCAAACTGTTGTTGAAGTGTGCAGCTGGACATACTCTTGATGCATCCACCAAGAAGATAGCCTCAATTTTACAAGATGATGTGCAGAAGGCGGCCGACGATGGAACCCTTGGTGTACGCATGTACATATTCCTGAGGGCTTTGCGCCGTCTATGGTTTTGTGATGTGCGGGAGAACGAGCGGATTAACAAATGTCTCAAGTTGTTGGGGCAGAGATGCCCAAATGCAAACCTAGATCTTGTCAGCGCACGCTGTACCTTGAAATACATGCTCGGCACGGTAGGAGCATTACAGAGAGGACTGGACGTGAATGTCAAAACACGCAAGTGGTCACACATCGCTCCTTTGGCAGCAAGCGTGGCAGACACCTGCCTCGAACATTGGCAGGCGTCACAGGAGGTAATGGAGCAAGAGGAACGTTGGGCACCGGCCAGCACACCTCCATGGATGCCAACCCCAGAAGCTGTTGCTGCTGATGCTGCGTCCCCAGCTGCCACAAAAACTAAAGCGCCCAAGGTAGCAGCGTCGAGTCTTCTTGCCGCACATGTCAACAGAAGCCTCTTCCGCTTCTACGACAAAGGCGAATATCAACGCGGTGCTGAGATTGAGGTTCCCCCGCTGACGGCCGTGCTGTTTGTCAACAAGAAACAAGTTGCCCAAAACTCTTTGTGCTCTTTTCCAGATGCCGCAAACATGTATTTCATCAGCGAATCAGTTAATCGTGCTATCCGCTTGTTGAAGGGAACCTTGCATCATACGACTGATGGCTTTGTTTGCAAACCAAATCGCCCCTGGACATTTGTTTGGGCAGCAGACGCCGTGATGGAAGTTGTCAAAACCACTCCCAAGTCTTCGTCGCAGTTGGTTGCCGTTGCTGTACCTTTGCAGTGGTCTTGCAGCGCATCGTCGATGGGGCTAACAGGAAGAGGGGCTTGCACCGTGAGGGAGGATGAGCGACATGCACGTGTGGCCGAGGCTGGATCAGCTGAGCATCTGCCTGCACGGTTTGCTTGTGCTTGTGCTGATGTTGGTTGGTTGGCCTGGTTGGCTGTTTGCATTGGTTTTGTTCAGTGTTGCTTCCAGGGATGCTGAGGCAGCGCAGTGTTAACACTGTAGTAGCAATTGTAGCAGCGGTTGCTGAGTGGCAGAGGCAGTTCTTGTTTGTTACTAATGTCACTAATGTCACTGATACATTGCTCATATCGCCCCATGGTGCCTATGCAATGCCAATGTGACATGTGCAATAACGCCAGTCACTTATGTCACCGCATTTGCAATACCGCCTCAGACACGAACATGTTGTAGATGTAGATGATGTAGTCTCTCAGCAGTACGCTCACTATACCGTCACGGTGACCGACGGTGACCGAGTCCTTGTCCATGGTGTCGCTTCCATTCCTCCAACCTCGTCCAACCTCCAGCCGTAGTGCTTGCCGCATGATGATGTGATGATGTGGATGATGAACGATGATGATGGTTAGTTACTCGTCGTCGATACGGTTATTTATGGCGGTTATGACGGTTTTCGATCTCGGTCTGTAGCGTGATGGCCGTGATGGGAGGTCTGTGATCTTCAAATCCCATCAGCGGCTGATGAAGCAGTCGTGCAAAGTCTGGTCGCCTCCCGGTCGCAAGCCCAGGGCGGAGAACCCCTCAACAAGGATGCTAGCAAGGCTAGCAAGGAGTCCACGGAAAGTTTGGTGGAAGTGCCGCCGCTACCGAGTTCCAGTTCATCCAGCTCCAAGGGACCCGAGCCTGCGATCACAGAACCATCTCTATCCCCTTGGATGGCAGCAGCTCTGGCAGAGATACGACGCAAAGAACGCGAGGACTTCCGTGAAGGTGAAGACCAGGCCGGTGACGACGAGCTTCACACTGAGAAAGATGTGGACACAAACTCGGGTCTAGATGCAGGTAGGTTACAAGAAGTTCTGCGTGGGGCTTTCGGGCTTACTGATGCGTATGATCTCGAGACCGCGGACTTGCAAGCACTGGATGAGGAAGGTTCCTTGTCGTCGGCACAGGCCAAGGAGGAGAGATTGATAAACGAGGCGTTGGACCAGGGCAAGGTCAAGAAGGATCGATTGTCGCAATTGTCGCATGTCGTGACATCCATGATTGATGCTGGCGCAGACCCAGAAGATGCGGTGGCCGAAGCCATATTGAATGATGTGCAGGTGATGGGCAACTCAGACTCTGTGTCTGTGAACGAACACGACGATCCAGATCCGGAACAGTCCGAACATGCGCCTGCAGCAGAACCTACCAACGACAGCATTCCTGTCGCCTTTGGGGTATGGCAGGATGCGGTGAACTTTTCACTGGAATGCTTACAGGAGCGGCGTCAAGCATGTAATGGCAAAGCTGTCGGAGAGAATAAAGAAATTTCACTTGTCCTGGGTAGGGTGAAGCAGCCACGCGCAGAAGAAGAAGAGGAGTCTGTTTTCTTTGTGACATGGACGGATCCAGCAGCGGACAAAAGGGAAGGGCGACCGGTAAGGCTAGATAAGGAAAACCGTGTCGTGTGTGTCGTGGCCACCGGAGACTTGCGCGTGGCGAGGGACTATAGAGATGTTCAGATCGTTCATCCTGCGTGTGGTGCCCGCATGGAGCGTACTCGGGGCTGGAGAAACCAGCTTCGCCCACAGGTCTCGAAGAGCGTTATGCGGTTGAACACGATGTGGAAAACAGCTCTGCTGGCTCGGGATGAATTGAGGATGCGGCGCGAAACGCCCAATCAGGCTGCATGTCTCGCTGACACGCAGCGGCAGTGCTTTGTCTGTGAGACGTCGATGGAGCAACCAACAGATGCAAATGGACCAGTCGACGATGCAAAACTCATTTGCTTGTGCCCCTGCTGCACATTACCTTCGCACGCGGCTTGCTGTCAACAGGTGGTTCGATATTCCGAGACACATGGCATTGATCTTCGTGCATCTGTGGATCTTTCCAATGCGGGGATCGCAGTCCTGGATGAACCTCCTTTCACTTGGCAAGATGCATCGCATCTTGCTTGCAAGTAGCTCAATTAGTTGTCCGGCGTCCGCAGATGACCTACAGTCTGTAACTGGGCCAAGCTAGGGTAGCGGCGGGCCGTGGTTGGTGATGCTTCATTTGGAATGATTTCTTCGAGTTGCACACATGACATGTACTGGCATGTGCTGAGTGTCAACTGCCATTCATTCAGCAGTTGGTGCACTGGCACACTGGGTTGTTGCTGATTGCTGTGGCTTCTGCGGTTGCTGTTGTTATTGTTGTTGTTGTTGCTGTTGCTGTTGCTGTTGTTGTTGTTGTAAGCCTCTCGGCTCAGGAAAGGTCAGGCTAGTACAGTTGCCTTTTTCCTTTCTTGCCATGGCATTTGTCAGCGCCTGAGCAGTCCCGGTCCCAAGTCCGGGAGGGAGTATTAGATTTACAGCTCTCTAACATCTCCCAGAGGTGAGGGTTGTCGGTATTGCGAAGCCGACAGGAGCCGTACTCAACATGAGTGCTGCGAAACAGCCTAGTGGTTCGACCAAGCATCAGCCCGTTCCTAAAGGGAAGGGTAAACGCTCTTATCAAAGGGCAGCACGTAAAGCTCTGCTTGAAGGTAGTGCGGTCTACAAGGGAAGGACGATGTCGTCAACAGAGCTTGGAGTTGCTCCGGCACATGTAAAGCCCACCAATCCCGGCAGAAGGACTCGGCCTTCAAAATTTACGGAAGATAAGAACATCAGCTATCTATCCTGGAACGCAGGATCTCTCACAACAGCAGTTTGGGAA